TCCAGCTGTGGTGAAACTACAAATCCCATGATGCATCTCTATTCGGGAGTCATGTCTCTGGCTGTGAGAATCTTGCAATGCCTCATGGGATTTGTAGTTCCACCACAGCTGGAGGGCCGGAGATTTGAGACCCCTGTCCTAGATTGTTCTCTTCTCCTGCCTTCTCCAAACTCTGCACCCTTTTGTGAATAGCCCTAAAAGAGTCTACTGTGTTTAAAGTGACATTAATGTCTATCCTCCCATTTCGTCAGCATTTTAAATAGCTTAAAAATCCTTTTGGCTTTATGGTTAAATCTATTTTTTTTAAGAGAATAAATTGACAATGAAAAGTATATGCAAGGCACATATTAGGAAGGAGAAATGACACATGGCAGTCCTTTTGACTTTAATATCACTTTAAGTTCTTGATGGGCTAAATATGAGTGCTTTGATATCAGGATGACAGAGCATTATAATATCTAAAAGAATGAACTGTAATACCAGTTTTTCACCCTACCAGTGCCACAGCTGAGCTGACATATTCCCAGTAAAGCATTTTTGCAGGGTGCTAGTCCTCTCTATACAGTATTATGGCAGCTGTCCCAATTTAAGCTTTGCAGAAACTTACAAAATGTATCGGTTAGTAAAGGTGAATACGTTGCTGGCAGCTACTATAATATAAAATATCTGCTCAGACTGAGGCCTGGTCCTCCAGGTCCATGCTTACTATGGCCTAGGTAGGGTGTTGCATAGATTAATTACCAGTGTAATTGATCAAGACTATTATTTATTTGTTATCTGAGTGTAAAGCTAAATGAAAAATACGTAGTTATGGGGTCTTGGTGACCACAGCGAAGCACCACTGGCCTAGAAGATTAAATGTTTAATGTATTTTTTTTTTTTTTAGTTTCTCAATCAGGTGTAAGCAGATATTTATTACCCCTTTCGTGCATTAGCAAGGGAACAAGTAGGCTGGTAAGAAAATATAGGTAGATGGGTTGCCTGGCGAAGAACGTGTTAAAATAGCTGATTTGTGAAAATTCTCCAATTCAGCTCACTTTCCAGTTCAGCTATGATGTCCTAGATGAGGGGTCTCAAACCTCCGGCCCTCCAGCTGTGGTGAAACTACAAATCCCATGATGCATCTCTATTCGGGAGTCATGTCTCTGGCTGTGAGAATCTTGCAATGCCTCATGGGATTTGTAGTTCCACCACAGCTGGAGGGCCGGAGATTTGAGACCCCTGTCCTAGATTGTTCTCTTCTCCTGCCTTCTCCAAACTCTGCACCCTTTTGTGAATAGCCCTAAAAGAGTCTACTGTGTTTAAAGTGACATTAATGTCTATCCTCCCATTTCGTCAGCATTTTAAATAGCTTAAAAATCCTTTTGGCTTTATGGTTAAATCTATTTTTTTTAAGAGAATAAATTGACAATGAAAAGTATATGCAAGGCACATATTAGGAAGGAGAAATGACACATGGCAGTCCTTTTGACTTTAATATCACTTTAAGTTCTTGATGGGCTAAATATGAGTGCTTTGATATCAGGATGACAGAGCATTATAATATCTAAAAGAATGAACTGTAATACCAGTTTTTCACCCTACCAGTGCCACAGCTGAGCTGACATATTCCCAGTAAAGCATTTTTGCAGGGTGCTAGTCCTCTCTATACAGTATTATGGCAGCTGTCCCAATTTAAGCTTTGCAGAAACTTACAAAATGTATCGGTTAGTAAAGGTGAATACGTTGCTGGCAGCTACTATAATATAAAATATCTGCTCAGACTGAGGCCTGGTCCTCCAGGTCCATGCTTACTATGGCCTAGGTAGGGTGTTGCATAGATTAATTACCAGTGTAATTGATCAAGACTATTATTTATTTGTTATCTGAGTGTAAAGCTAAATGAAAAATACGTAGTTATGGGGTCTTGGTGACCACAGCGAAGCACCACTGGCCTAGAAGATTAAATGTTTAATGTATTTTTTTTTTTTTTAGTTTCTCAATCAGGTGTAAGCAGATATTTATTACCCCTTTCGTGCATTAGCAAGGGAACAAGTAGGCTGGTAAGAAAATATAGGTAGATGGGTTGCCTGGCGAAGAACGTGTTAAGCTAAAGAATATACAGTCGTGAGCAGATGAATGAGCACCTATGTGAATGGAGGAAGCGTTGCGTGTGACCACAGAACAGCTGTAGAGAGCAGGTGCAGCTGGAGTAACCTGCCTAACAGCTTGTTATCCTTCATTCATGTACAGTGCTAAGTGTCAACAAAGCCCGAGACACTCAAGAAAATCTATTCAGTATTTAGCCACTTTCAACACATTGTGATGCCGAGACTTCTGTCTGTAGCATGTACTGATGGCTGCAAACCAAAAACTAGCCCATGCGCAAACACCTCAAGCATATTTGAGCATATTTCTTACAAAATCAGTAAATTTGTATTGATTTCAGAAATCTGTTGAAAGTTGAATCACCTTTGTAAGTTTGGGTGATCAATATAGACATACCATATATAGAGAGATACTATATATATATATATATATGG